CGTCGGCAGGGCCCTACCATCGTGCTCCTCGATATAGGGCTTGGGTTTCTTTCTCAATTTGGGTTTCTTCTTATTGCTCCTGTCCAGGATGGCTTTAATGTGCTGGGTCACTGGGGAACAAACACAGCGTGAGGACACGGGGGGGGACGGGGGGGGACATGGCAGAGAGAAACAAAGCGGGAAATCAACTCGGAAAACGAGGAAAACGGAAAGGAAAGGAGGAAATCAAAGTTAAGGAAGGGGAAAGGGAAACAAGGAAATTAAGATCAAAATTAAAAAATGAAAAGGAAAAAAAAAAGAAAATCAAGGTCAAAGTTAAAGAAACAAAATGAAAAGAGAAAAAAGAAAAAAAAGATCAAAATTAAAGAAATGAAAATGAAAAGAGAAACAAGAAAATCAAGATCAAAAATAAAGAAACGAAAATGAAAAAAGAAAATCAAAATTAAAAAAATGAAAATGAAAAGAAAAAAAAAAGACTTGAAAAGAAAAAAAAGAAAAACCAAAATTAAAGGAATGAAAAGAAAAAAGAAAAAATCCAAATCCAAATGATAAAATAAAAAAGAAAACAAAAGTTAAAAAAATGGAAATGAAAATAAAAAAGGAAAAAATACAGACTTGAAAATAAAAAAGAAAAATCAAAAGTAAAGAAATGAAAATAAAAAAGGAAAAATCAAAATCCAAATTAGAAAAATAAAAAAGAAAACAAAAGTTAAAAAATTGGAAATAAGAAAAGAAAAAAATATAGACTTGAAAATAAAAAAGAAAAATCAAAATTAAAGGAATGAAAATAAAAAAGAAAAAATCGAAATCCAAATTAGAAGAATAAAAAATTTAAAAAAAGTTTAAAAAATGGAAATGAAAATAAAAAAAAAGAAAAAATACAGACTTGAAAATAAAAAAGAAAAATCAAAATTAAAGGAATGAAAAGAAAAAAGAAAAAAGAAAAAAGAAAAAAGAAAAAAGAAAAAAGAAAAAAGAAAAAAGAAAAAAGAAAAAAGAAAAAAGAAAAAAGAAAAAAGAAAAAAGAAAAAAGAAAAAAGAAAAAAGAAAAAAGAAAAAAGAAAAAAGAAAAAAGAAAAAAGAAAAAAGAAAAAAGAAAAAAGAAAAAAGAAAAAAGAAAAAAGAAAAAAGAAAAAAGAAAAAAGAAAAAAGAAAAAAGAAAAAAGAAAAAAGAAAAAAGAAAAAAGAAAAAAGAAAAAAGAAAAAAGAAAAAAGAAAAAAGAAAAAAGAAAAAAGAAAAAAGAAAAAAGAAAAAAGAAAAAAGAAAAAAGAAAAAAGAAAAAAGAAAAAAGAAAAAAGAAAAAAGAAAAAAGAAAAAAGAAAAAAGAAAAAAGAAAAAAGAAAAAAGAAAAAAGAAAAAAGAAAAAAGAAAAAAGAAAAAAGAAAAAAGAAAAAAGAAAAAAGAAAAAAGAAAAAAGAAAAAAGAAAAAAGAAAAAAGAAAAAAGAAAAAAGAAAAAAGAAAAAAGAAAAAAGAAAAAAGAAAAAAGAAAAAAGAAAAAAGAAAAAATCCAAATCCAAATTAGAAAAATAAAAAAGAAAACAAAAGTTAAAAAATTGGAAATAAGAAAAAATATAGACTTGAAAATAAAAAGAAAAACCAAAATTAAAGGAATGAAAATAAAAAAGAAAAAATCGAAATCCAAATTAGAAAAATAAAAAAGAAAACAAAAGTTAAAAAAAATGGAAATGAAAATAAAAAAAACAAAATAAAAATAAAAAAAGAAAAGGTAAAAAAAGAAAAAAGAAAAAAGAAAAAAAGAAAAAAGAAAAAAAGAAAAAAAGAAAATAAAAATAAAATGAAAGGAAAATAAAAAAAGAAAATGAAAACAAAAATGAGAATTAAAAGAAAAAATGAAAGAAAAATTGAGTAAGGAAAAAATAAAGGGGAAGAAAAAATAAAAAATAATTTAAAAAATGAAACGAAATACTAAATACAATAAAAATAAAGGGAAAGGAAAATTAAAAAAGAAAATTAAAATAAAAATGAGAGTAAAGAATAAAATAAATGAAATAAAAAATAAATACAATAAAAGTAAAGGGATAGGCAAATAAAAAATAAAAAAATACAGCTGAAAATAAATATTAAATACAATAAAACAAAAGGGAAAAAATAAATTAAATGAAAACAGCAACAAAAGTCAATGAAAGTAAAAAATAAAAAGTCAAATAACAAATTAAAAGCAAAATAAAGGTGACAATAGAAATGCAATACAATAAAAACAGGTGAAACTGGAAATGAAATCCAAACACACGAAATGGAAACAAAAATAAAAATAAAACCCCGAAAAATAATAGGAAAATGTAAATGAAGCAAAATTAAAATAAAATATAATTAAATGACAATGGAAATCAATATGATAGAAATGAAAATTGAGACTAAAGATAAAAATAAATGACTATAAAAGTAAAAATAAATGAAAAAAATAAAAAGAAATTAAAACAAAAATAAAAAATTAAAAAGAAAATTAATATTTAAAAGAAAATTAAAATTAAAAAAAGAAAAAATAAATGAAACAAAATAAAAATACATTAAAATGAAAACCAAAATAAATAAAATAGAAATGAAAGTGAAAAAGGAAAATTAAATAAAAATGATAAAAAAACGCATGTAAAATGAAAACGACATAAACCTGAAATGAAAATTAAACATGAAAACGGAACCAGAGGGTGACACCCCGTGGGTGAGGGTGGTGGGGCTGGTGGCCGAGGGCTGTGGGCACAGGCACCGCTGCTGAGGGGGGGTCTGGGGGGGACACACCTCTCCTGGCCAAGGTTTCACCACTGGTTCCACCAATCCAGGGCGAGGGAGGTGAAATGAGCTTGGCACCTCTGCTGCCGGCAGGATGCGGGGGGACACGGGTGGGCCCCCCAAGTCCCATCCTGTCCCACCAGCCTCGGGGATGCTCATGGGGCTTCCTCCACCACCATCTCCACCTTCCTCCTCCACCATCATCTCCACCTTCCTCCTCCACCACCATCTCCACCTTCCTCCTCCACCACCATCTCCACCTTCCTCCTCCACCACCTCCTCCACCTTCCCCATGACCACCTCGGTTGGGTTCATCTCCTCTTGTCTCCAAGTTGGCCAGATCCACCATGGCTCCAGGTGACGCCGGTGTCCCCCAGACGCCGGGGAGCCCGAGGGCACCCAAAACCAACCCGAGTGATTTAAGTTCCATCTCCCAAGAGTGCCCGGTCAACGGTGAAAATCTGGGACCCTCCACCTCTGCCTCAACCATCAGCCACTGGGAGATGGAACCAACCCATGGGATGTGGAGACGCCCAGCCCTCCAGCCGTGCCATGATGCTGTGGGTCAGATCAAATCCCACCACCATAAGATGTCAGTGAAGGAACGGGGATGGCCAAGCCCAGGACCGGAGAGGGGCTCCTCCAATTCCCACCAATTTGAGGTCAAACAGCCAAAATTTACGTCTCTTCTACCTTCCATGACCAAAAAACACCTTTGGAGCTGGGAATCAAACTGGGTCCCCTTCCACCATGGGGTTTTTTGATCCAAAGCTACTTGAGAAACCATCAGAAGCATCTGAAGATGGAGATGGTGATGGTGAAATCACAGAATCATAGAATCATTTGGGTTGGAAGGACCTCTAAAGGTGTCCTCATGGGCCAGGAGAACTCTTAGGGCCACCTCGAGTGGAGGTGACGCTGGGCCTGCAGCAAAGGTGTCAAAACTCATTTCATGTGGGGGTCTCGTGCTGGATTTCCATGCGCCAGGGAGGAAAGGACGGCGGAAAAGGCACCGCCGCGCTCGCTGAGGGCTCTTGGATGAGTTCCTCCCCCACCTTCCAACGAGGAGACCCATGAATACGAAGGGGAAAGGAGCAAAATAGTCATAAATAAACAAGTGTCAACATCAGGATGGGCCCCAAAGCCACCAGGGCAGCAGTTTCTCTCTTACCTTTAGTGTCATTCACTGGATCCATGTGCCTGTAAATGTATCCTTCTAGGTAGGAATGAAATTTGGGAGTGGGTGGGAAAAAGGCCAAACAAATGGCCATGAGCTCCCAGCCCCGGGCCAGGCTCTCGTAACGGAAGTTCTCGGTGGTCTGTCGGCACAGCTGGATGTAGAGCTCGTCTCTCAGACCCTGCATGCTCCAGCCTTTGGTGGCGATCTCCAAGGCCACGTTGAGCTGGTCCGTCTTGGCCCGCCGGTCCCCCATGTACATCTGAATGAGTTTAAATATCTCGCAGGCCTCTTTCTTGACGTTGCGGTCGTTGGTCATGATCATGGGTTTCTTGATGGACTCGCTGCTCCAGGCCAGCATGTTGGCGATGGACACCTTCCTGCGGAAGAGCCCTTGGGTGTGCTTGTTGAAGTGCTTGGAGGCCCAGTTCTCAATGTCCGTCTCCGAGGAGGGCTTCCGCAGGTTGAAGGTGGGGAAGACACAGCTGGCGCTAGGCATCATGTTCCTGGTCTGTCTGCTGTTCTCAAACTGGGCGCAGGCACCGAGATCCTCCGACTAGGAGACAACAGGCAGAGAAGTCAATGTTACTAACAGCATGGCTGCACTGCCAAACCAACCAACCAACCAACACCCACCCACCCAACCAACCACCAAACCAACCAACTGACCACCAAGCCAAGCAACCGTCCAACCAGCCAACCAACCCACCAACCAACAAGCCAACCAACCAACCGACCAACAAGTCAACCAACCAACCGTCCAACAAGCCAACCAACCAACTGTCCAACCAGCCAACCAACCAACCGTCCAACCAGCCAACCAACCAACCGACCAACCAGCCAACCAACCAACAAGCTAACCAACCAAATAACCAACCATCCAACCAAGCAACCAACCGTTGCAGCATTAAGAGGTTGCCCCACGCTCGCACCAAAAGCTATGTCCTCTCCAAGAAGCTGCTCCTCAGTCCCACCATGGGCAATTGGAGCTGCCCTGGTGTCAGCGGTAGAGATGGGTCATGGCACCGAGTGGCACCAGGAGGGAGGGATCTGGTGGGGACAAGGAAGGCCACCCAAAAGCCAATGTGCTGGACTCCCTTCCCATCTGGCACCCTGGTCCCTCAGGCTTTGCAGTCATGGCCAGAAGAAGCTGGTGGTTATTAATAATGTGGGAGGAGCAAAGGGCGAGTGGCTTCGGGCTCCACCAGTCCTTCGGTGGAGGTCCACACCATGGAGGGGACACACTCACCTGTGACCAGCCCTCCACAGAACCTCCTTTCCCCAAAGTCACATTCAAGAGTGGTTCTCCAGTGGCCACATAGCCAGGAGGAGACAGGTGGCTCCTCCAAGCCATAAGCAACATGGATGATGTTTCTTCAACAGAGGGACACAAGCTGCCCAGGAGCACCCAGCTGGGAAGGACCTCTGCAGAGCAAAAGCTACTCCCCTGCAGACCAGTGTCCTTCTACTGGAACTGGAACCAGCACAGCTTATGGATATCACCCCAGAAGATGGAGGGCTGACCAAAGAGCTGCTGGCCAGCATGGAGAAAGGCAAACAAGGACACTTGGGATGGGCTTGGGATGGTCCTGCAGCCAGCCAACGTGGCTTCACTGTCTGTCAGCTCCCTCTTCTTGGGTTTGGTGGCCCTGGGGACATGACCTGTGAGCAGGCAGGAGGTGAGCCCTTCCCTTGGCAGGGAAGAACATGCCACACCACCCGGAGGTGATGTTGTCCCCACCATGTGCAGGGGAACCATCTTGGTGGCCCTGAGCAGACACCATGTGCAAGGTCACTGCAGCACTGCCACAGCCTTGGGGGTGGGCTTTAGATGAGGAACAGAAGAAGAAAAGCAGGAGGCAGAACCAAGGTGGAAAGAGCCAGGGCCATGTGGAGATGGCAAGTCCAGGAGGGGACAAGGAAGCCACCCAAAGAGCCACCAGAGCTGCTGGTAGATGGTAGATGATTGAGACTCTGCTTCTTCAAACAAGTCATGTTTCTGGTCTCCTCGCTCAACAGCTCGTCCCTTCCCAGCTGAGGTCTCCTCTTTCCATTGACATCGCTCAGCTCCCATCTTCCACTGCGGTGACGATGGCAGGGACCTGACCATGGGGACACGGGGGCTTTACCCCTTGAGGGACCCATCCCTGCCATTGCTATGGAGGCCACATCACCCAAAAGGTTCTTCTGTATCTTCCAACCTGCTGGTCAGCTGAAGGCACGTAGGGCTTTCTGGATGGAAGGAGATGCGGCGTTTGCTCCAAGGCTTCTTGCTCAGTAGCCACCATTGCCGTGGGTCTTCCAAAAACTGGTCCACGAGCTGGGCCAAAGTCACTGCTGTTTATCCGGGCCACCCAGGAGAACCAAAGGACCACATCAGCTGGGGACAACAGCCTTCTCCAGCCAAGCCCAGTGGACAGTGTGGTCAGGCTGGGGAGTGACCCAGGCAGCAAAATATGATTGATCCTCTGCTGCCAGAGCCAACATGAAATTTCACTGCTGTTTATCCGGGCCACCCAGGAGAACCAAAGGACCACATCAGCTGGGGACAACAGCCTTCTCCAGCCAAGCCCAGTGGACAGTGTGGTCAGGCTGGGGAGTGACCCAGGCAGCAAAATATGATTGATCCTCTGCTGCCAGAGCCAACATGAAATTAGCTTCAGCCCTAATTAGCACAGTCCTAAATGAACTTGGGGGAAGTCCAGGGCTACAACCAGGGGACAACCAATCGGGTGGCAACGGCAGCTGGCCATGACCTCCTGACAGGGGGCTGCCACTGCCTGTCCCTTGGGGTTGACGCTCCTTCCAGCTCAAACCCAGAAGCAATCTCAAACATGCTGTGGGAGAAGAAGGTCCATGTGCCACCAGGACCAATGATGAAGGTTCCCCAGCTGATGGGGGCATAGGAAACCAAATTAAAACCACGTGACAATCTTGGACGTGATCACTGAATGGCTTTGGGTTGGGAGGGACCTTCAGATCATCTAGTCCAAGCTGCCCAACATGAGAAGGGACACCTCCCACTAGACCAGGTAGCTCAAAGGCCTGTCCAACCTGGCTGTGACAATCTTAGATGTGATCACTGAATGGCTTTGGGTTAGGAGGGACCTTCAGATCATCTAGTCCAAGCTGCCCAACACAGGCAGGGACACCTCCCACTAGACCAGGGAGCTCAAAGGCCTGTCCAACCTGGCTTTGAACCCCTCCAGGGATGGGGGTTCAGCCACAGCATCTCCTCCAGCCAGATGGGGACCAGATGTGGCATTTTGGGTGTCCCCAGAATCTCTTGGAGCTTTTGGAGGATGCTACGAAGCCCGGGGCTGAGCTGTCACGGGCTCGATAAGGGACATCTCCTGCATTGCCACCATCTGATGGTGTCAAGACGTGAAACACAAGCAGATGAGCTACTGCAAAGGACATGAGCCCCGTGTGTGAGCCAGGAGCACCCATCACAGCTGGGGATGGGTGCTTGAGGCTCCCCTGGGAGCTGGGTGGGTGCTCAGGGTCCAAGAGCTGGTTGCCACTAAGCAGCAACCAGACCAAGGGAGGAGAAACAAGACCTGAAGCCGTGGCACAGGGCTGAGGTGGCCGTGATGCCAACTGGGTGGCCAGGAGCTGCCCCAGAGGGCAACCCCATTGGATCTGCCATGGAGGCAGGGGACTTACAAGAGGAAGGAGCTTTAACCAGAGGGTGGTGGGGACAACCAGGGAGGGCGGTTGGGTCTTCCCAACCCAGCATGGCACCCAAGGAGATGCCACATGGTGGGGTGAAGGTCGGTGGCGCGGGGCACATGGTGAAGCCCCCCCAACGCCGAGGACATCCCCAAAGACGTTACCTGAGATGGATGCAGGTAGGGCTCGGGAGAGGCCAGGTTGGTCTGCACGGAGACGCTCTTCTCCAGCAGGATTTGAGGGAAGCCCAGCTTCTCGAAGGTGTTCCTCTTCCAGTGCTTGTTCTCCTGCTGTGCCAAGGCCTCGTCCTCGCTGAAGGCTCGCACCACCGGCCCCGGCATGGGCAACGGGAGGGCACCATCGCTCTCGTAGCCCGAACCGTCCTTTTGGGAATCCCAGCTGCTCCGTTGCTTCATGTGGTAGTGGGCTTGCTGGGCTTCCCAAGCCAGGCGGGCCTGGGCCAAGAAGGGTTCGGGGAAGCCCCGGCCCGCCTCGGCCTCTGCTGCCTTGCTCTCCGTACGGTTCATCGGTGACCTGTTGGGTGCCGGGGTGGCTCGTTCCTCCCCCAACATCTGCTCACCCAACACCTCCCGGTCCCCTGAGCCGTCGGTGGAGGAAGCGTTGGGGTCGTGGGACAGGGAAGGCTTTCGGCTTTTCCTCTTCCTGGTGGAGGGCGAGTAGCCGGTGGAGGACAAGGTGTCCTGTTGGCTGGACCATGACATGGAGTCCTCACCCTGGGCCACCTGGCCACCCGTGGGGCCAGGGCAGAAGTCAGGTCCTTCCATGCTGCTGTAGTCACCCGATTTGATCTCCAGGCGTTGGTCACGGACCAGGCAAGGGCTGTGCTGGAGCGAGTAGGAGCCACCAATGGGGTTGGGGGAATATTTGTGCCTCAACCCCGTCTTCATCTTGGGGCTGGAGCCCGACTGCTCGACGTAGACCAGTTGCCTGACGTACTCCTTGCCAGCGGGGCTGTACTCCAGGCTCATGAACCGGTCGGGACACTTCTGCTTGGTGAGGACCAACTGTTGGTAGGGCGAGTTGGAGCCTTGCTTGGGCGACTGGAGGAAGGGGTGAGGTTTTCGGATGGGCGATTTCTGGGGAGACCCGGCTTTGTAGCTCCCGCTGGCTTCGTACTGCATGTCCACGGGGGGTTCGTCGTAGATGGGAGCCTGGTACTCCATGGGGGGTTCCTCGTAGAGGGGGGGCTCGTAGGCGTAGCGAGGGGAAGAAGGTTGGGACTCGCTGGAGTGCTTGCGGTGTTGGGCTTGGAGAGGGGAGCAGAAGGAGTCCCCCCGGCCCAGGAGGGGCGAGCAGCTGCCCACGTGCTCGGCCCTCTTCAAGAAGGGCGACTGCTTCCTCTCGGGGAAGAAAACCGAGTTGTCGGCGTCGGGGGCGAAGGTTTGGAGGTTGGGCGACTGTTGGCCCCCCGAGGGTCGCCGGGAACGGGTGCCCGGTTGGTTTTCGGGGGCGTAGCCGTTGCCTTGGTGCATGAGGAAGCTGGGCTCGCGGTCCGTCACCTTGATGAGCATCCGTTCCTTGGTGCCGGCGTTCCATCGCAGGGACGACGTCCTGCGGGGAGAAACACAGCGCCGCCATCAGCCAGCGAAGCCCCCACAGGGGGACAGACACCCCCCATACTGTTGCCTCAGGACCCCCCCAGACCCTCAACCGCAGCAGAACCCAAAGGTTGGATGTGCCCAAGACCCTCCCAACAGATGAAGAGCGTGTCGGTGATGGTGAAACCAGGGCACTATCAGCGTCCCAAAGATGGTGGCACCAGCCCACAGCCCTCCCTGGATCCTAAAGACCTCAGGAACCCCTGGGGTGCACGAAGGATGCGAGGGCTGGAAAGTCAAACCCCCAAAAGCCTTGAAATCCCTTGGAGAACATCTCAAGAACCTTGGAGAACATCCCATCTTGGAGCAGAACAGCGATGGAGGAGCGAGCACGGCCAAGCGTTGGTGACAACCAACGGTGACAACCCCTTGGGGAAGACGTACGTTGGGTGACACTTTGATGGGTGTTTGCTTTCCCAGGATTAACCCATCTCACCCCCTCCATCCAGCCCCCCTGCCTGGGATTAACACCCTCCTCTGGCTCCCTGTTGGAGCTGGGCTTCGTTAAAACCAAGATAAAATAATAATCCCAAGCATCGTTCAACAAGAAGTTAAAGGCAAAAACCTTCAGATTTGTCCCCTCTGATGCAGAAGAACATCATGGTGGGGGCCCTGGGGGCTGCCCATGGTTTGGCTCCTGCGGGGATGCTAAATAGCTCGGGGTGGAGGGGCTTGAAAACACAACCCTGACCTCTGCAGAGATATCCCAGCCCCACAAAACGTACCCCAAGGCCATGGGGCAGCTTCTTCTGGCAGGACCAAAGTGGGGCAGAGAGGAGAGAGACAACTTAGCCACCTGCCTAAACCCACATGACGTGTGGACACCTCGATCTCCAAAGGGATGGAGCACCAGCCCCGCAGGAGGTGAGAGGAACTTCCCTCCATCCTCTTCATCACCAAAAAAAACCTCAGGGAGATCCCTGGATGGGATGATCATCTCAGCACAGGTCCCAGGATGTGCAGGAAGCCCATGGAGAGGGAAACAGGAGCTGGAGCGGTGGTGGTGGATGCCCGGGGCTTCTTCTTCTTGATGCCCAAGCCCCCTCCTCAAGGTTGAGGGAGGGGATTCTGCCCCTTTGCTCTGGGGAGAACCCCCCCTGCCCAAGTGCTGCCTCCAGCTCTGGGGCCACCAACATCAGAAGGACATGAAGCTGTTGGAGCGGGGCCAGAGGAGGCCACGGAGATGCTGGGAGGACAGGCTGAGAGAGTTGGGAAGGTTCAGCCTGGAGAAGAGAAGGGTCCAGGGAGACCTTCAAGCCTCTTCCAGTCCCTCAAGGGGCTCCAGGAGAGATGGGGAGGGACTCTGGATCAGGGAGGGAAGCCATACGACAAGGGGGAAGGGTTTGACCCTGGAAGAGGGGAGATTTGAGATGAGATATGAGGAAGAATACTCAGGAGAAGCAGCTCAGGGGAAGCACATCGTGTCACCAGCTCCTCCCCAAGTGTCCCACGTTGGCACAGAAGACACCGGAGGCGACGTGTCTGGGAGCACAGGCTGCTCTCCCAGCTCATCCCTCTCTCCTCCTCAGTTATTTTCTTGCAGCCACTTGTCCTTTCTGTCCTTCAGGAAAAAGGTGGAGCGAGTCCAATGACTGAATTTTGCAGGAAAAAAAAATATGCCCAAAAGAGGCAAATATATAAAAATATCTCCCTGTATGAGGCTCCACCACCTCCTGGCACCCTGCTTCTTGCTTGCCCACGACTTTGTCCTCGCTCCAGGGGATGTGGGGAACAATTTCTTCCTTCCCTTTCCGCAGCAGCCTTCTGAGCTCCAGAGTACTTGAGCCTCCTGCCAGCTTCTTGCTGTTGAAGACCTGCATGAGTTTGGGTCCCTCCTGGTCTCTCCATACTGGTTGTTGGATCTCAACCCCTCATCGAGCCCTTCCAGACCCCCAAAACTCCTTCCAACCCGGAGGAGCACACCCTGGAGAGCACAAACAATTGGAGAAGGATGATGAGGGAAAGCATTTCCAGGTCAGAAATGCCAAGAAACATTTGGCCTCATCGTCCACCATCAACAAGCTCAAACGATGAGTGAGGTGAGAAGATAGATCCGCTACGGAGAGTGCTGGGGACTGATTTCATCCCCTGCCTGCTCCATCATTAACAGGCAGATGTCCCACCAGCACTGAAAGGACCAGGGCGGCGAGTCCGAAGGCAGCCTGATGGGGCAAGAAGGAATTATGAACCCACCAGCAACAACCGAGATGAGATGTGGGGAAGAACTTCTTTGCTGTGAGGGTGGTGAGAGCCTGGCCCAGGTTGCCCAGAGAAGCTGTGGCTGCCCCATCCCTGGAAGGGTTCAAAGCCAGGCTGGATGGGGCTTGGAGCAACCTGGGCTGGTGGGGACCTAGTCCCCATCCATGGGGGATTGGAATTGGATGGTCTTTAAGGTCCCTTCCCACCCAAACCATGATCTCCAAAGACTATGCAGCCCTAGGCCAAATCTCACGACCTAGTCCCCACCCAGGGCAGTGGGATTGGCATTGGATGGTCTTTAAGGTCCCTTCCAACCCAAACCATGATCTCCAAAGACTATCCAATCTCAGAGCCAAATCTCACAGCTCCTCTTGGTTACCTCCTTGTGTTCCTCCATTTGCAAGACTCATCACACAAGGGAAGGATAAACAGAGTTATGGACCTTGTGGTGGGACAGGACCAAGCAAATTGTTCTCCTGGGAGCCAGCTTCTTCTCTACGGTGGGTAAAGAAATCACTTCTGGTCTCAGGTGTGACCACAAGCCAGGAGCATCAGCCCCCACCTCTCACTTCTGCTCACAAAAAGGTTTCCCCAATTAAATCTCTAAGCTGGGATGAGACCATACTGGCTCGTTAGTGATTTGCAGCATGTCACAGAGGAAGGGAAGACTCCAGGTGACTTCTTGGGGTCCACCAAACCTCATGGGTGGACAACTGGAAGCCAAGGTCTTAGCTATCTGCTCCAGGGCCACCTGAGAGCCCAAGTCCTCGTTACCTTTCTCCATTTTCCACATTTTTCTATTACACACAGACAAGTAGTTTAAACTCCAGCCCTATCCTTGGGTCCTTCATTTTTGGAGATGGGGTTGAGGTTCTTCTTTGCTTTTAATATGAACTCCCGGCGTGGCAGGAGGAGTCATTAAAGGCCGTGACGGCCGCCAAGTGATTAACAGCCATCGCCCTAAAAATATCATCAACCTTGGAAAGCCCTGGCAATACTCAGCAAAGCGGCGCTGCTGGAGCGGCACAAGCTGCTGTCACCTTGGTGTCATCAAGCCCCATCTCCTCCTGGTTCCACGGGTGACTCCAGCAGAGCAGAAGACGTAGAAGGTGTCCCCAAAGCCCCTCAGATGCGCCAAGGTGGGACCGGTGGGACCCCAAAGGCCAGAGGACGATCGGCAAAGTTATTTGCACAAGAGCAAGACATCTCTGAAGCTATGGGAGATCCACCTGCTGGTGTTCAACCAAAAAGGAGGAGGACACCAGCATGAAGAGAGGAGCAGCAAGCGATGCTCTGTGGAGAACCCTCTTCAGCTCCTCCACCATCCCTGTAGGGACTGAAATCACGTCCAAAATCCAGGTGTTTTCACTCAAACCAGGTGAAAGCACCTCTTAATTCCTTGGATTTGCCACCTGCATTAATATTTCAGGCAGCAGCCGGCATCTGGCAGCAGCGGATCCGAATAAAAATCCCCCCGGGGAGCGGAGCAGAGCCCTGCCCATCAAATCATCCCGCCCAAGTTAGAGCCTTCCATCAAAATATTAAATAACAGCCACCAATAAACCTGAAAGCTCCACCAGGATTATTGCTAAACACCAGAAAAACATCGCTACGGACCAAATTAAATTTTCTGCCCTCAAAAAACAAGTGTTGCAAAAGGCCCCCCCCCTTTTTATTTTTATTTTGTGTGTGTGGCTGCCCATGAGCAGCCCAGTTACTCCAAGAACTGAAAAGTGCTGGTTTAAGAGATAAAAAGGGAGCCCCGCCAAGGCTCGGACACCCTCCTGGCACAGGAGATCCCTCCAGAAATTCCAAATATTCCTGCTATCTCCGGCTTGGCACCCGGGTTCCCTTCGCTATTTATTTTTTTTTATTCCTCCTGGGGGAGGCAAAATTCATCTTAACGGCTCCCGAGTACATTTCCATGACAAACAGCTTCCCCAAATCCCTCTAATCTTCTATCGGCGAAATCAATTTCTTTGCAAATTTGCATAATTTCCAGGGGACCGAAACACGGCGTTTATTTTAGGGGGAGGATTTGATTTTTATTTTTTTCCTCCAAAAGCACTCGAGCGCCTTCTGCTCTTAAATCCTCCCTCCCCACTCACACCCCCCCCCCCCCTTCCCTTTCCGCAGCAGCCTTCTGAGCTCCAGAGTACTTGAGCCTCCTGCCAGCTTCTTGCCGTTGAAGACCTGCATGAGTTTGGGTCCCTCCTGGTCTCTCCATACTGGTTGTTGGATCTCAACCCCTCATCGAGCCCTTCCAGACCCCCAAAACTCCTTCCAACCCGGAGGAGCACACCCTGGAGAGCACAAACAATTGGAGAAGGATGATGAGGGAAAGCATTTCCAGGTCAGAAATGCCAAGAAACATTTGGCCTCATCGTCCACCATCAACAAGCTCAAACGATGAGTGAGGTGAGAAGATAGATCCGCTACGGAGAGTGCTGGGGACTGATTTCATCCCCTGCCTGCTCCATCATTAACAGGCAGATGTCCCACCAGCACTGAAAGGACCAGGGCGGCGAGTCCGAAGGCAGCCTGATGGGGCAAGAAGGAATTATGAACCCACCAGCAACAACCGAGATGAGATGTGGGGAAGAACTTCTTTGCTGTGAGGGTGGTGAGAGCCTGGCCCAGGTTGCCCAGAGAAGCTGTGGCTGCCCCATCCCTGGAAGGGTTCAAAGCCAGGCTGGATGGGGCTTGGAGCAACCTGGGCTGGTGGGGACCTAGTCCCCATCCATGGGGGATTGG